TAGACAGCTTTTGTATGCTAGGTGGCACGCGCTACCACCGGTACAGCAGCACCATTCTTAATCTATTCATGTATCCAGGCGAGCAAACGGTCTTCGAACGTTATTGAAACGAGCTGCGCTGTTTGTTTCGTTTTTTTTTTTTGTTTTTTTTGTTATTATTGGCGAATGGAAATAAAAGTAGCTTCTAGCTCGGCGAAGGGAAATAAAAGTAGCTTCTAGCTCGACTGATTGTGGTAGCAAAAAAAGCACGTGGCGAGCGCCACTTCCGGAAAGAACATGGCGTCTCAAATTCAGCTCAGTGGTGCGCTGTGCCGCCATAGTCTTCCCAAGGGCTGCAAATTTCACGTGCTTTGTTCCTCGATGCACCTTTCGCTACTTTTAAAACATGCAGGGTCTTTAAGGGGTATTCGCACGAGGGCGGAATCCCGAGGATTTCTCCCCGGCACGCGCATCCCACGTTGAAAACGTCAGGCTTTGAGACGTGCAAAAGCCTCGCGTTTTCATCTCGTGAGGCGCGCGTGCCGGGGAGAAACCCCCGGGATTTCTCCCTCGTGTGAATGCCCCTTTAGGTACCGCACGCACCGCTGCAATTCTGCTCGAGGTGCGTAGCGTGGAGCGTGTCCTCACTATTTGCTGGTGACTGAAATGTGACGCGCTCGCGCGAGGGGTACGAGAGCGTCTCGCACTCCGCGTGCTCGTGAAGGACGAACTTCTAGATCTCGCGCGTAGTACCATTACAGTGTACTAGTATTCTAGTACACTGTAGTACCATTGCGCGCAGCGCGGTGAAAGCACGTGCAGGGTACCGGTGAAGCCCCTCGGTGTGTCTGCGTTTGCATTTAGAGTGGTGTCTCGAGCGACTCTTGGAAGCAAAATGGTGCCTTTGCACTGAGATGAGCGGCTCTGGAAATGAAGGGCGGCGGATCACCCGCTCGTGGCACGTCTCTTGCGCGTTTACAAAACAATGGTTGGCGGCACTTGTAGGCGGTAATTTTATCGAGGCACTTTAGGTACCGGTGCCAGCGCGCAACGTCATGAACAAGTCGCATCCATTCAATTTTATGCTAAGCACACGAGCGTACTAACACATTTGAGCCATCATTGTCTTCGAGAAACCGCAGAAACGAGATGCCGAGTTAAAGCAAGGGTGCAGGCGAGCTGGTTGAATAAAGGGATTTTAACCCTGGAGAGTTGAGACCTCCTTATTTTGTGTCGTGTTTGTCCTGCTTGTCCCCACTCTTCAGGGTAAAAATGTCTATGCTGAGTTGCCTTCTTGAAGCTCCTTGCAAAAGCAAACTTTGACAAAGGACTGGAAACCTGTTCAGTATAAATAACCCAGCCGCACAAAATGTCAAATTCTGGAAATTCAACTTTGGATGGTTGCATCCGATCTATTGTAGGATACAATTGAGAATGCGCCTAATGAGCGCTACTACTTACCAGTCACGGCATTTATTCGCTCCGCAGACTAACCAGCAAAGGCCGTAGCCATGACAAGTTAGGGGACGTGTAGGCTTGTAGAACACAAAGACGAGGTGTGCGCACTCAAGTGAGGAGTCTTTTCAAACTAATGTGTTATCTTCTATCCAGCATGTCTTATTTTTCTCCCGGGTGGGCAGCCTCCACCGATGCGAAAAGACGGCAGCGGGACGTGGACCTTGCAGCGGTTCATTTCCGTATTGCGGGGAACACTGGCTGGCAGCAATGAGCATTTTAATAGAGCAGCTACTGCCTCATCTTTAAGATGCATATCTGACTACATTGAGTTACCGGGTACCGGTGGTGAGGGTGAAAGCTCAGTTCAATTATTCAACTCACCAGACAAGGCTACAATGATGATCACCACGAGTGCCAAACAGACCAGGAAGCTGGCGCAACAGGCTATAAGCTTCGCGGTGTTCCTGTGACAAAGGAAAGCGTGCCCGAGTCATGGACACGGGAAAAATAGACTGCAACACCGACTGTACAATAGGGGAATAAATCTCACCTCACTAGTTTGGTTTGCACTAAATACATGTAACTTGCAAGTGTTGTCACTCCTTGGTACTGACGGTTATTTCTACACACTGGCTTCTTTGAAATGCAACTTCTGTGGTGTAAAGCTAACACGGGGAACCGAACGCTCGCGGTGCATGCAACACCGGCATGGCTGCGAATGACATCACATGCAATCTTTGTATCCGCTGGGTCAGAAGACAGATCAGTGACGATCGCGTGGGTGATTGCCGCAGTGCTGCCCACCGGCACTGGAGGTAAAAAAATTCACGGCTATTGCCTCGCTGTTTAAGTGTGGGTGTTTGGTGTGCGCGAATCGCGATCGCAGATGCTGCGGTTTGGTGCTTTGGCTAGGGCGGTGTTACAATTTTTATACGTTGCGCAAATACCATTTAGAATGAATTACTAACATAGAAAAGATCATAAGAGTGCAGGCGAGCTTGTGAATATTAACCATGTTGAATTAACCTGAGACTGTTGTAGAGAAGAAACATCAAAACGTAGAAAAAACTGAAAATAGACAGGACGACGTCTCAAACTCAGCTAGCTCGTTTGTTTAGTCCACCTTCTTAAATAGTCTCAATCTCAAGGTCAACTCCACCAACACAAAAGGACAAAGTCCATGCAGTTCAAGCGCCACAGTCTCCATCACACAATGCAAGAACGTTGACAACCTTACAGGTCAACACGATTAGGAAAACATTCATCCACCTTTTGTTCAAGTTTGAAGGTGGGTGTATGTTGCCTTATCGCGTCGACCTGTAAGGTTGTCAAAGTTCTTGCATCGTGTGATGGAGACTGTGGCGCTTGAACTGTATGGACTTTGTCCTTTTGCGTTCGTGGAGTTGACCTTGAGATTGAGACTATATAAGGAGGTGGACTAAATAAACGAGCTACCTGAGTTCGAGACGCCGTCCTGTCTATTTTGTCCCTTCTACGTTTTGATATTTCTTCTCTACCCCAGTCTTAGGTTAATTCAACATGTTTAATTACTGACGTTCCAGTGGCGAATTCAAGGGGGGGGGGGGGGGGGGACCGACGTGGGGCGGCCGCCCCTTCCCCCCCCCCCCTTCCCCAAACAAAGAACACCCCCCTCCCCCCTTCTGGGAGGGCAATTTGACATGGGTAGACCCGCCGGTGCACAAGAGAGAATGGGGGAATAGTATCCCTAAAATTTTTCGGCCCCTGCCCCCAAAACGGAGTTTTGGATCCGCCCCTGTGACGTTCAAAACCAACGATACATGTGTTAGTATTTATCTCCGTGTTATGGGTCTTCCAAACATCATTGAGTTTCGGTAGACAGTATATTAGAGTTACGCTTTGCTAGCGGGAGCTCGTGCCGCCACTTAAAAGCATAGATTGAGGACGCGCCCGTTGGGCCCGCTTTCCGTAGAATACGATCTCCGTAAAACTCGATTGAAGAAAAACAGGCAGGTTCACCGCCTTAACATGCATTTAGAACAAGCGGTCGCGTAAATAGGATCCGATAATACGCCGGCAATGGTTACCTTTAGTGAAAAGACGGTGAGAGTGCAGGCGACCTGGTGGTAGCTAATCATGTCGTATTACACCTGAGACTGCGGTGGAAGAGATCGGAAGAACTTTCAGTAGAAGGAACAGACACAGAGAACGTCTCAAGAACAGACACAGAGAACGTTTGAGACGTTCTCTGTGTCTGTTCCTTCTACTGAAAGTTCTTCCGATTTCTTCCACCGCAGTCTCAGGTGTAATACGACATGATAATGGTTACCTTGTCCACGCGCTGGAGTTAGCGAAGCAAAGGACACGTGCTGAGTTCCAGACATTGTTAGGGTTTAGTTGCAGCGAGGGCTGGCGTACTGACTAGCGTCATGGCAGAGATTGGAGACGAGTCACTACACTGTTAGAAAAACTCCTGTCAAAGTATGGGACACATATATGCTAACCTTGTTGCCACAACATGTACTGTATTACCGGACTACAGAACATGTTCCATACTTCTTTAGTACAGGACATGTTGTTGTATGGGCAGCGAGAATAAGTTTCATACACCATCATCATGGAACAAGTAGTGTATGCTACAGGAAATGTACCATCATGGCACACAGCAACACATGTACGGTTGCAAGCCATGCTAGAATATGTACCGTTTTTACGAAGTACATCACATGTTCCAATGCGTCCAAAATGACACAGGTTGCATTTCTTGTACTCACGGAAAAAGTTCAGTCTTGTTTGTGATAGTACTCGCCCCATTTTATGTTACTACCGCTATTCACGAGAACATCCGGGCTTTGTGTGTCACATGCCAAACTTCTCCTTAAAAAAGTTGATATGTGACATGCAAAACAGGAATGTCCTGACAGTTTGCAGGCTCAACTTGATGCAAGTCTTTGCAACATAAAATTACCTGCAATGCGGAAATGTTCCCCAAACTTGTATGGAAAATTTGAACTGTCGTATCTAATGCGAGCACTAACCTGAAAAACAGAACAATGAATCTGTGACATATATACTTAATAGAACAGCCAGGAATGCTATGAGAAAGTGCTCGCATGCTACGTCAAGTTTAAAGATCATTGTACATGTAGGGACGGGGATAAAAGCATATAAACATTTGTGAACATCCTTATGAAACTAATTTCCCGCTTGGTTGTTTTGGTTCCAAACCATAGCCAAACCCATTGCCGAATCCAAACCAAACCCATTGCGAAGAAGACTGAACAGTTTGCTGCTTCAAAAATATTTACATTTATTTTTCTTTTAAATGACTAGAACACATACACAATAAGAAAACATTTCATGCCGCAAATATATTTGGCGCAACTCAGCCATCAAAAAAAATATCAAACTGAGCAGTTCACTAAAGAAAAATGTCACAAAAAATTATGCTGACAAGCTACACTTCGAAAAGAACCATCTTGGCTTATGACAACAAATAGTAATATTAACAATAGAAAAAAATGAATCTAAACAAGCACCGAATTTTCTTTCCACTTCTTTTGGAACTTCGAGAACTCTTGGAGGGCTCCCTGCGCCTTCAGACGCACCAGAGCAACTTTTCTTCAAGACTGCCGGGGCCCTCCTGTGGGTTCATTGCCACAAGTTGCCTGAAAGAACGAGCACTTAAATAATGGGCGGGAATATTTAGAGGAAGGAACAGAAGCTAAGTAGTTCCTGACTCCTTCTTTAACTTCTCTATCGGTTAGTAATCCAATCTGAACGAATACTTAATCTTGACTATAGTATACTTTCAAGCCGAGACAAACGCCCCTAATCTGGACAGTCCGCGCACACAACATGAGCCTCCAAGTCTGATCCTTGCATCAAAACAAATATTGATTGTAAAAAAAAAAAATTCACCCCACTGGCATTAGTTCTCAGTAATATCTGCGCACATTTCGGAACTTGCGTGAGCACACAACGCTAAGACATTCTACAACCCGAGACGGAGGCTACAAAGGAGGACAAACACATCCATCTCAATTCAGACGTATGTCTTCGTAGCCTCCATCCCGGGTTGTAGAATGTCATATTAACCAGCTCGCCTGCCTAGTAACGTTGTACACAACAATACTTCGGTTAAAAAAGGAATTCAGAGTACCAGTCAATGCAATATTACAAAAAAGCTTGCCTGAAGTGCTTAAGCAGAATATTGTGGTTAATATTAGAACACTGAACATTCATGTCTTTTGGTTCATATTACTTATTCTAACTGATAAGCATAGCCCGGTCACAGGTATATTTATGTGCCCCTGCAGAACAAGGGCATATGCATTTGCAGCCGAGTGATACTAAGGCGGGTTAAAATATAAGTTGCACGTACCGTAGGATGCATAAGTTCTAGTATTGGTTCTATATGACAATATATCTGAGTACCAGATTCATACTGATTCTTTCATTATATTGCAACATAATAATAGGATTTAAAAACAAGCGGTCCTCCCCGCAGCACTTCCAATTAATGTGAGTAACGAATTGTAAAGCGAATTGCGAATTGCCAAGCGAATTGTAAATAAGGGTGTCTAGAAAGCAGCACATTAACATTAGACCTTTGCCTTTCTTAGTGTAAAGTTTCAACAAAAACATGGTTCAACATGTTCCAGGTTGCTGTTGAAGGTGCAAAACAAACACAAACCCTAAGGCTAATATTCTGCTCTACAAAACGTTTTTTTTTTTTTCAAATTGCTGTCGAAAGTTACACTTTGCTTGATGTAATTGGCAATGCCTCAGCGACAGTGGGACCAAGCTGAATGAAGCCCTTAATATTTACATGGGAATACTGCAATACGTTCGAGGAATGGTTATGCGTCTGCTATGCTGTTGTTTTTTGTTGTTTTTTTTCTTTACAGATTTGTTTAAAGAAAAGCCATGAAAGCTACACTTATGCGGTTTGTGCGAGTGCGTTATACGCCCAGGGGTACATTACTGGGGTGGCTAATCTTCGCGATAAGTCGGCTAATTAATTGAAATTCGTTAATTATATTTAAATTAGTGGAAATAGTCGTATGTTTCCAATTAGATATTTGCTGAGCGTCGTTCAAATCCCCTAGATCGTAATTTTTGAAGGACTTTGAGCGCGTGAAAAGCGCAACAGTGTGCTGAAGTTACTACTCGTGGAGCAGGTACAAGGCTGCGGCTAGCTAAGAGACGGAAAAATCGCGCGGGCGCCTTACCGCAACCGCTAGCCTCGTGCTCCACAAGTGGTAACTTTATTGTACTACTACACTTCTCACGCGCTTAAAGTGTTTCTGAAAATGACTCATTTAATGGCTTTCGATAACACTCAGCAAGTTTTTAGTTGGAACCATATGTCTATTTTCACTAATGAAAAAGTTAACCAATTTTATTAATTAGCCGAGTTATCGCGAAGATTAGCCACCCCGGTAATGTCCCCCCGGGCCTATAACTTACTCGCACAAACCGCATAAGTGTAGCTTTCATGGCTTTCTTTAAACAAATCTGTAAGAATAAAAAAAAAATCCTGTATATGTACAGTACTCAGCAAAGGAACACGCGACTGTATTACCTCTTAAGATTACATCAATCTATGACGTAGCGGACAAAATTGTTGCATTAAGCATTAAGCGTTCGGCCTCCGACAAGTTAGCACGTTTATGAGGTAATAACAGTTTGTGTGTTCCTACAAGTTTCGGAAACATTGCACATTGCCAAAGGAAAACTGTGTTTGAACTTTTTTGACTTGTACCCTATACTGTAAACGACTTATTTTTCGCGGGCTCAATATTTCGCGATTGAGGTAAAAGTTGAAGATTTGGAATAATTCGCGGGTTCTAATTTTCGCGATGCGGCGGGATCCCAATATAGATTCCAATGTGTTTACATTTTACCAGAATCGTTCGCGGGACCTATTTTTTTTTTTTTTTTAGTTGTAAGCGATTCGGGAAAATTAGTATCGTTCGAAAAATAAGTCGCCTACAGTCTTCGAAATCTCCAATTCTGAGCCAAATTGGCTTTGCCGGAAATACGTTGAGGAGCACACCACTATTCAAAGGTATTCCAAACTGCTTAGGATGTTGGCAAGGACACGATAACAGATTAGGTACATAATTTATTGCTAACGACCTTTTATGTCATTAACGCTGTCAAAAATTACTTATCAGTTATTGCTGCTTCCCAGACAAAAATAAATCGCGTATTTATTTCTTTACGAAATGCAATATCCACTTGACAATTCAACCACTTGAAGGAATTAGAACTGTCCATACAATACATTTTTCCAAAGCAATTCACAGTGCACGTTTTCATAACTGAAAGGCACGTTCATAGTTACCTCTAAACGAACTTCAACGCTGCTGGCAGCTCACCAGGGTACTTTAGGTTGAGATAACAGTATGTGGCGTACATCAGCTCCATAGCAGAGAGGAAGCTGACGCCTTCGAAGCACCTGGTGCCATCCAGTGGCAGTTGAAGATGCTTCTGCCTGAAAAAAAGTAGATCTTTTTAGTCATAAAAGAACGCTGAACCAAACGTTTATGATTGCAATTGTGTTTGAGAGCATTAATACCTAGGACTTTTGGGAGTTATACTATTTTCAAACATGGCGCACCTTTTCAGTTTTTATCTGGGGAGGAGATTTTCAGTTTCTTCCGGTTAGCATGTATACCCATGAGTTTTATCGCTTTATTCTGGTGATATGTATAGTATCTTCCTTTAGTTCACAACGCAAAACCGCACTCCGTTGCGGTGAATGAACTTGATACGCGATGAAAACAAGTCAAATCCCATCCTCTAAAAAAAGGTAACTTGACACACAAAACCCAATTACAATTCACGAGCATGCTCATGAATGTGCGAGGCAGCATGCACAATGCGCGAGTCTGGTCGCATATTCACGAGCAAGCTCGTGAATTGCGAGGTTGGTTAGGTCATGATGGCGAAAATATTTGTTTGAGGGCTCTGCAGTAATTTGTATTGGCAGAGCAAAGCTCTGCCACTATGGCCAGGACTCGGGTCGTCCAATGAAAGAACGTTAACGCGCGTCGTGCGTACAGCAACTTCCAGTAGAGCTCCACGACGTCGTGCGTGTAGCAATACTCTACATGAAAAGGGTGTCCTTCTCAGGCCATGAGCGGGAGTTCACTCTGAGCATGCGCAGCGCTCAGAGAGCTCCAATGTGGCGTCGAGTGAATACCACTTATTACATTAGAGGTTTCGACTCGACCGGGGTAATTTCGAAGTATATTCGTCTATCAGTAGCCCGAGTTATATCGGAAATATCAGTCCCGAGAAAATGCCATCATTTTAGTCCACAAAACACCTGGAGTGACGGAGCATCCGCGGCGCGCACACGAGCATTAGCAAGACGATGATTGATTACTGGCACAGCGCGGATAAGTTTACTGGGCGACTCAAAATATCGCACGATAATGCGTAGCTATTCCTAAGATGCAAAAGCCTGCATTATTTCTCTGCATCAAGCAGGTGCCACCTTTATTTGACCGCATATTCGAAAAGCTGCCAAGAACGCTCACACGGCCGAGAAGCTGAGAAACGCAGTGCTCCGCTATGCCTTTCAAACGCATAAAAAAAAAGAAAAAAAAAGTTAAAAACAAGCCTTCTTTATCGAACGCTGTATTGAGAATATATTACGGTTTCGACCTTAGGAATATACTTCGTTCCTTAAAACATAAATGACCAATGTTCACGTCTTCTAATCCGATCTTCCCTCATTCTCCAATTGCCCCATCCCCCTCCCCGATCAAGCGCTGAACTTTGAACCATATGAGGTTAAAGTTAGCGGCGAATCTAGTTTAATTCGACGCGCTTAGGTCACGCATGTTGGCAGCGGCTTGGCATAATAATGCGGGAATATTGCGGAAACCGTGCTCTCCTAAAGCCCAACTACTAAATAGGGTCGGGCAGTATGTCGCCCCGAATCAGGAACTATAAAAGGCCTAGTTTTATGCGGCTGGGAAGACGAGACGCTGCACGATGAGCATCCCGCACTTGGAATATACGACACCTTTAGAGATAGTAAACTAACACTGGCGTTAGGAACAACTTAACGTATACGTACCTTGGAAAACGAAGCCGTCTACGCACCGTAGAACGCCGCTGACGACGCGACAACAACGCCAAACTGGCCTTCCGAACGGGTAGCAGCATTCCGCAGCCCCCGGGCCTAGAGCACTATATAGCTCCTACGGAGCAGAGTAGCGCAATCCTTTGAACCCCGTGTCTTGCCGACAACATGGCCGACAGAACGGCTCGGCGCGAGTCACGTGGTACTCAGGGTTCCAGGAGGCGGCCCGCCCTATGGGAGAATACATGAAGATCGACATAACACGGCTGAATAAAAAACTAACGGCGAGTTCACATTTTTCAAAACTAGCCTTTCGTGAAGTTAGTAAAGCGCTAAATACTTTATCAAACTTTTAATAATATCGGATGCGTGTGCAAATTTTGAGAAGGCAATTTCCAAGGCAATGGAGTTTGAAGCGGACGATTTTTGCTCGCAGCGGAGATGGGCTTTTCGGGTTGGCCGGAGCGGGTCACGTGAATGGTGTGACGTCGCCGTGTCGTCTGCTGCATGATGCCGCTCAGGCAATTTTTTAAAAAAAGTTACGTCCTTGTATGGCACAAAACTTATCGCATATTATTCTGAAATGTTTCATTATTATGTCAAAAATAATTTCCATTCCGCACATCCCCACAAAACTGAAGAAACAACGATTTTCTCACGTTCTCCATGCATTTCTGACCGCAGTTGGAACCTCCGGGCGTTCGCCGCTAGTCGCCGAGAGACGGCGTTCTAGATTGCGCTACTCTGCTCCGAAGGAGCTATATATAGTGCTCTACCCGGGCCCACGCCGGCCGACAGCGGCTTGCGGATGCGCGGGAGAGAGATGTCTTCCTTCGCGCGGCGTAACTCGGCTCACGGGAGCTGTACTTCCGCGGTCTGATTGAGTTCCATAAAAATTCCTGGATATCCGGCACTTTTGGGCGCGTTCAATTCGCTTATACCAGTTGAACAGGCTATAAACTGTAATATTGCAAGGCTTTTTTTATTGATACGGATAAGCTCATACTTATTGCTTAAATAGCACATTTCAATGCATATGGTACAGTTTCCGTTCTTGAAAGCAAACAGCACATTATGTGCATTTCCAGAAAACGGGACATGTTCTATTCGGTTTTAGAGCGCAGCTCTTAGGGGCCCGTTCCCGGCTTGAGCGGCGTCGCCGTCGCCGTCGCCGTCGCCGTCGCCGTCGGCGTAACCAAGGTCATCCCAAGGTCACGTGACCCCCAAGGTCACGTGACCCTTCCAGGTCACGTGACCCTCCCAAGGTCATCTCAAGGTCACGTGACCCCACGTGACTCCCAAGGTCACGTGACCCCTCGAGGTCACCTGACCCCTCCCAAGGTCATCTGAAGGTCACGTGATCCCAAGACCCCACGTGACCCTTTGAAGGTCACGTGACCCCCAAGTCACGTGACCCCTCTGAGGTCGCGTGACCCCCAAAGTCACGTGGTCTCCTCCCCAAGGTCACGTGACCCCCAAGGTCACGTGACCCCTCCCAAGGTCATCTCAAGGTCACGTGACCCCAAGGTGACCCCCACGTGACCCCCAGGTCACGTGACCCCTCTGAGGTCACGTGACCCCTCTGAGGTCACGTGACCCCCCGAGGTCACGTGACCACCCTCCCCGAAGTCACGTGACACCCCCCCCCCCCGAGGTCACGTGACCGCCCCCCCGGAGCATATTAAAGAATGAGGGGAGGAGGAGGGGTCTACCCTCCCCTCAGTACCCTTCACTCCTCCTCCTCAAGAGCTGCGCTCCGATTCGGCGTTACAGGGATTTGTAAACGGCTTTCACTTTTTTCCACGCAGATTGATGGAATTTTCTAACAGTGTACCCACATGCTTGTCGAGCTTTTCACAGTCACGAGCTAAAATCCAGTGCTGACGCAATGCTTATGTGGGAACCGCATTGAGATATCGTCACTCTGGGTACTATGCCGAATTTGCGAGCTCCGAGCTACGTCATAAAGTCTTGCGAAACGAAATTAAAAAAACGTTCGTTCTAATAATAAAAATTGCACCGCAACAAAGAAGTTCCTTTGTCCACAGCGTTGCAGGCGAGGAAACTTAGGTCCCACTTGTCATTAAACTCGTGTAAAGTAAAAAAACAGTCCATCTCAATATCGTTGCACCGCCCTTTTAAGACCCTCTCACAGGACATTGAGAGAAAACGGTTGACTGTCGGGGAACATGCCCTTGTCAACTGACAATCATTTTCGCCGACTTGTTTGTTCTCCGACGGTCTGAAAACATTCTCTCACCGCGTTCATGGCTGACGGTGCGCCGAACACTGTGCTGTCTCCTTTCTTTACCGTCATTTGTGGGCGGTGCGACGTCGCTGCAACTGTACTTCAAACCAAAATCTGGTTCACACATTTCCAACGGTCAAGTTCACAAAAAAAAAAAAAAAAAAAACTAAACGACAGAAACTTCTAGAACTCTGGAACAACCGTGACTCACGATTGCTCAAGGAAACTTCATTTTGCATCGCTTGCCACGTTCTGTACGGCGAAGACCTGCCAGGTGACTTTTTTGTTGCTGTCGTTTAGTTGCTACGAATGCCACCAAAACCAATGTGGGAGCTGATCCTAAAGGAGCTGTGCAACGACATTGGGTAGGAATATTTCTTACTTTACACCAGCTTCCTGGCACTAGTAGGACCCGAGAATACTCGAACGCAACACCACTGACCAAGACGCGTCTTCGTCGCGGCTGAATTCAAAGGATGGAAGCGGAGCTTTTCTGTCAGTCTCTCCTTCCAAAGCCGGCTTTTGCTCCTTCGCGAAATTTGGTGGCGGAGCTGTGGGGACAATGGCAACAGTACGATCCACGGGAATGCGTCATCCAGCTCTTCGGTGACGATATTCAAATGCTGCTCACACAGTGGACGCGAAGACTGCGTACGCATTCGATCAGGGCTCGTGACAATAGATGACTCGACATGCATTCGGGTGGTGGCCCGTGTCCAATCGCTGCAACGACGACACTAGCCGAGCTATAACAACGTCTGGAACTCAGCGCGTGTCCTGTGGTTTGTCAACCCCAGCGCGTGGCTATGATCAACATTAGTGGCATATAATCGGCTCCAGATCACGTGCGCTCGAAGAAAAAATGTAGCAAAAAGTTAGCACCGGCGCGTCTTCCTCCCTTCTACTGACGCGCCCCCAAGCGGACACAAGAAACAGGGAGGAACGAAACGTTTTTCTCCTTCTCCAGGCAGACGGTAGAAAGTTTTCGCCCTGCCGACTTTTCTTCATTCGGCTTCGTTTTTCTAGCACGTCGCGCACGTTGTTTAATAAAAGTTGTTGAGTTGACTCAGCTTCAGCCGCAGCAAAGACCGCCTGTAATTCCGTCTTCTAGTCCAGACATACATAACATTTTGGTTGCAGTGACGTTTTTATCACTAATTTCATCAAACGAGCAAACGAAACCTCTAGAAACAGCGAAGTTCCGGAGCAGTGCCAGTAGCACTACGTACACTGGGTGCCGTCTCCGGATTGCGCAGGGCAAAGGAGGTTATAATGGTTTATAAATACTAGGAGGGGGCACGATGCAAGGTTGAAGCCAAGTCATAAAAAGCTTAAAAAACGTTGTGGCCAACGTGACCAAAAATCTCTCTGGCAATTGGTGCGCGTGACATGTCACATGTGAGATGGATGGTTGATTGTAAAAGGATTCCTTGCAGGCTCGCGCGCGCACCGTCCGGTAGGTTTTATCAGATCGAAGGCTAGACGAAGGCTAGCTACGGTCACGTGATGTCGTCAGGTTGGCCTGATAAGTGAGTAGGGTAAGGGAGAAAATGAGAAAGAGCCGAGGCGTCAAGGGGGCATGGCTTGTAGTGGCTACGGGGCGGACCTCATGCCGTCTCCTACCCTTCTATCCTACTTCCGCAGGGTGCTCAGGGCGGATTGCGGGACCACACGAACTACTGTAGCGGAACCACGCGGAAATGCGTCGACGTTTTCGACGTTATGGAAATCGCAGGAACTGCGTCCAAGACAGGCAGGTTTTGCTGCCGGCTGCCTGGGTGCCTTCCGTGCTGAGTTCAGTTCTGTTTTACGATGACGAGTGCCAACCGGCGTTCAACGTGGCTCTGTATTTGTGCGTGTCAGCAACATAGCAGCAACATCGTGATGACAGTGTTGTGGGTTGTGAACAGAAGACTGGAATTATCGCCGATGTGACCGTGTGTTCGCGTATCAGTGGTGTAACAATAAGATGAGATGACGTAAACTGTCGGGCATTGATGCCGCTGGTCGGGCCGTGATCTTAGGGGGCGGGGTGTCACAGGTTGACATTCCGCTTTCCATTAAAAAGTTTAAGACCATTTGAGGGATTAGGTGCAATCAATCGACTTACGGATAGTCATGTTGGAACGCTGGTCTGAACCGTATACGCTCCTATCGTACAGTGACCAATGTGATTGTCGGTTGTCTCGTCCCAGAGAGCGATTGCGCCTGGGGAAAGACTGAACAGTACAAAATTATGACGGAAAGTACGTATACTTACAGCGTGGAATTTTAGCATTAAAAAAGAACAGGTAAAAATCGAGAAAAAAAAGCTACCCTTTATTTTGCTGTTTAAATATACTACGGTTCCTGGAGAAACTGCCCTCCAAGTGGCGCGCTGGGGTGAGCGCTAGAAGTTTTCGAGCTCGTCACGGCGTAGCTCCGTACAGTTAACACCTGCCGCGAGCCGCGGCTTTGACTGCATTCAGGTTGATCGAAAAGCGATTTCTCGGGCCGTGAAGCATCACTTCCAGCTGAGTGAATATCTCCTCTACAGTGATTATTTCAAGACGGCAATCGCAGCCGTGCGCGAACAGCACAAATAGAAAAACAAACGCTACAATAGAAATACACGCTACGACTTGCAGTGCCGGGAAATAAACTCATGACTTCGAACCACATTGGAGCGGCTTAATTTATTTCAAATAATTACGGCATGCTCGAGCGTTTACTTTCTTACAAGAGATTCATCTCCTGAGCCATTCAAAATGCTGTGAGACGTATGAAATTGCTGAAAAAAAAATGAACATGCTGGGAATATGTTTGATTGCTTAGGGAGTCACCGAGAAATTGCGTACGTTCAAAACGACCAGTATAA